CAGACACTTTGGGTTTAACAACAAGCAACTGCATTTCAATCACTGGGCTGACACCCCTATTGGGGATGGCTGAAGGAAAGCAAGCGGGACAATTCAATCTTAAGGGCGGGGTGTGCATCTGACGGCGTCCTTGGCTCAAATTTTGAGTTGGGCAAGTTCTGCTCCTTGGTTCACCTTCCTCCCACCAATATGGAACCTTTCCCTTCGCGCCAAGCCATGGGTTTTGATGGGTCTACAGCCATCCTGGTCGAACCAAACCCCGTCCATGGGCAGTCAACTCCCTGCTGCTCACTTGAGGTTTTTGATGTGGTTGCTTGGCATGGGGAACATGCTGGGCATTTGATACACGACCGTGTGTTTACACGTGTGTGTGTGTGTTCTAGTGGTTGCGGTTGTGTCAGCGTTTGTGGGTGTGCGTGTGTGTGTGTGTTTATAATGGCAAGCAAGTGTTGGCAAAGCATCATCGCCAGTCTGGTAGACAGTTTCGTCCCTTTGTTGTGGGCTTTCATCATGTTCCCGGTTGTCAAGTGGATTCCACCCTTTCCCCTCCTTTTTGGATGGGTTTCACCTCTAGGGTCAACCACCACAATCCAGCCACCAGTGGGAGAAAGTCTTTCAGCGTTGTTTTTGCTTTGTGCTCCCCTTTACATGCATCCACACCGGGGTTCATTTTGGCAGACAGTTCTTTGTGAAGACAATGTTGTTTGTGTCAGCTAAGTGCTCAAGCCTTGCTTCTTAGTTTTTTTCGACTTCTTAGACAGCTGCTGCTTCATTTGGCTAGAGCATTCTCGTCGAATTGGAGGATATGGAGCACTTAGTATGATCTCGAGCGGCTCGCGGCTGAATGTTGTTTTGCTTTCTGATTATTCAACAGCCTGCTGAACCAGGCAAGGTTGTCACTCAAGTGACGACACAAGGGTTGCACAGCTTGATTCATGCAATTCGCATGTTGATAGACTCTCTTCATGGGGCGCACACACACACACACATAGAAGCCAGTGGTGCGTTTGGTTACCCTGCAGAGCTACTTGCACTCATGTGTTTCCACGTTGGCATGGTCTGTAACGTTCGAATCAAAGCGAGCTACCAATGGCCAAACATGATCTCTCGGGCAGTTAACCTCCACCCAAGACTGCTGTGACGGACCAGACTCTCAGTGGCCCGACCCAAACTGCTGTCACAGAGGCTTCCGCCAGCGGCACAACACACCAGACTCAGGCTGCGACAGCTGTAGACCCGACCCTGTCACACACCAGGCTCTGAGTCTGAGGTGTCCAATTGCCCGTCGCATTTGTTCAGCTGGCAAGAAGGCCATTTGTCACGTTCCTGTCCGGTCGGTGAGGTCCAGAATGGCTCCTCTGCGCCTTGGCTCGGGTGATCGAGCTGCTTTGTGGTCCGCTTTGCATCGCGGGCCGGGCTCAGTGTACCCAGTGGAGTCACTATCATGTTCTGAGGCGGTTTTGGTGCCACATCCTATTACACACGGCGGTTGCGTTGTTTCGGAAATTACATTCAACGGCAGGGTCTCCATCTTCTGAACACCTTGCTTTTTCTGGCTGTTCATGGAACAAAGTGAGGAAACGCCGGACAGTTCTGCGCCTAACTAGTCGGAAATCCAAAGGGATCCAGCCTCTAGACTAATTCCTCTAAGTACGGAGTACAAGGCACCAACTAGCGTTCATGCAAGCAGGGCTAGTCTTGTAGTTTGAAAGGTTGCTGCTCCAGGCACCGCTGAATGCAACAAGTGGGACAGTCGCCTCAGCCCTTTCGCATGCATCCCTTAGCCGCTCTCTCTACCCGCGCTTCACCAACCGGGGTTCCCCCATGCTGCCCACCATGGTTGCCCGAAAATAGCCAGTGGCGCCCTTTATGCATAGGGAGCCCTGAAACTGGTTTTCCTTGGACGACCTTGTCAGCACGATCCAGAAAAGCGATTTCCCATTGGAGCAAACACCCTTTTCGATCTTTACTGGCATTCACAGGTGAGCAGATCATGAGAATTGAGCGCACCTTTTCCATCGGGCCAGTGGCTCAACATTGAGCCACAAAAACACCCCTTAGAATAGACATCCATTTTGAGACTCCGTTTTCGTTTTGTTTTGAGACTCCCCCGTTATTTGTTCCCCAAGTTTTCTTCAGGTAATCCCAGCGGGTTCCCCCCTGCAAACCACGTGGCTCCGCACCGGGCTAGGCGCTGCTTATGGTGGCGCTCCTCTCGCGCGGCTCGTTTCTGGCGGACTGGAACTTCTCTGAGGCGCCTGGATTACTGATGACTCGTTGCTTGCTGGTGCATGCGAGGGAGTGAGTTGGAATGAGCCCGATTCAAACCAACTATGGTACTATGGTTTCCTTTAAGGGGATCCCCTTCCGGTTCATTCCCAACTTCAGGAAGTTCATTCCCTACTGAGCCCTAGCAAGCAAAGGGAAACCAAAAGGAGCCTGACAAGTGGTTGGTGCATGAACCGTGTCCAGAAGGTCACGGCATGGGAGGCACAGGTTTTTTCACTGTGCATATTTGTTGTTTTTCGAAACTTATCTTTGCTATTATATAGATCCTTCCGCACAAGAATGCATTCAAAAGTCATGACCATCTGTTTCTGTCCACAGAGGTCAACAAACACACACACACACAACAAAAGAAAACAAGAAGCAATGTTGGACGCGTTGATCCGCTCTGCTTGTTCTCAGCGAATGTGGCAAAATCATGACACCTTAAAAAGGCAGCACAAAGCAACTCCGAGGTTTGATACCCCCCTCATGGTGGGTCAGCGTTTATTCCCAGATTCTAGAAAGTTCACTTAGGATTCAACCGAAAGACCCTACTGATCAAACAAAATCCCCCCAAAATACATAAAATTTCAATCGGGAAACCTCTGACTTGTCCGAAGCGCTTTGCCTCTCTGAAGTGCAAATTGCGAAGAAGCAAGATGTACTCGCCCAGTGGAAAAGCAAAGGGACCCTTCGTTGTTGGTGCGCAAAGGACAAGTGAGACGGAACAAAAGACGGGCACGAGACAAGCGGGGTGACTGGTGACCCTGTTGCGCCAAACAGCAGGAACCAAACGGAACACCAAGCCATGACTTCCCATATTGATATTTGGACTAAGACATGGTTGCCAACTTGAATCAAGGCAAACAAAAAAGACGGGGAGCTCACCTGGACACCCAAGCCTCATTTCGAGAGGGCCGATTTGTCATGTGCGCTGTCGCTCTCGCCAAGTCACAACAACCATGTATCACCATCAGACCTCTCTCTTTCTCTCTTTCTTTCTCCCCGTCCATCTCTGTGATTTCTCTCGGTTCGAAACCGTCGCCCTCTTTTTGAGTGAGCCTGCCAGTACTTGTTGTCTGTGCGCCTGGTGTTCTTCATCTGCCCTCGCGGCAGGAGGTGGAGGTTGCCACCGTGGATGCGAGCCGAAGCCGTCCGGCAATGGCAGCCTACGGCAGCCAGCTGTTGGTGGCGCACCTGGGCCAAGAGGCCTGCGAGCGGGCGACCGTGTTTTCCAAAGGGTCAAAGCTTCAAGACTCAGTTGCCCACTGGAGTTCTCCTGTGTTCTCGTGCTTGCTTGTGTTGGGTCTACTTATATACATCAGTATGTCAAATATAATTCTTCCCCTCGGGCCTGCCTCTTTTCAGAATTCACTGTTATTGCAGTGTTTGCTGCGCTTTTGCGGGCTTTGGGGAAAGCATCAAGAAAAGGCACAATTTCAAGGACCATCTGAAACTCCCCCCACATGAAACAGAATAACAAGGAATGAAGCACATTCGCTGCTTGGAACCCCCGAATGAAACCGCAAGAACACAAATGACATTTCATTCGCCCGGATTCAAGAAGCTTTGCCGGAAAACTTGAATCTTGCATGCGGGCGAATTAATTTTCCTTCAGTTTCATTCGCGGAGTGGGGAATCTTGAATGCGGGCGAATGAAATTTCATTCGTTTTCACTTGTTTTTTTTTTTTTTTTTTTTTTTTCCGGGGGGGGGGGGGACAGGGAAAACTTCTCAAGGGAAGCTTGAATCCGTGCCCATGAAGCTGATTTGCTAATTCGATTTTATTCGGGGGCGCTGGTTCCAATCAGCAAATGAACTTTCATTGCTTTTCATTCGGTTTCATTCGGGGTTTGGTCTAGTCCTAGTTTGAGGGATCCTTGATTCAAGTCCTAGTTTGGTCCTAGTCTTAGTTCAAATACTTAAGAGTTAGAGTTATTTCGTTTAGCACTAGTGTGGTCCTAGTCTTAGTCCTATTTGAGGGATGGCTGGTTCTAGCCCTAGATGGGCAAAGAATGAACTGGTATGTCTCGGAAGGAATAGCATGTTTTTGTTTATGTATATCATTGAACACATACACGGTTACACTCACACGCTCTCACACAAACACGCGATTTAGGCACGGACACACCTGCTTCCCCAGAACACTTTGTTCTATGCATAAGCATCCTGGCATAGCATGCGGGCCTTCGGTACCAGCCCTGGCCACGTTCATGGGTGCAGGTCTTGGCGCTTTTTCGCATTGGCTGGCTTCAAGCAGGGCCTCTCCACACTCGGGGGTCCCCTTTTGGAGAGCCCTAGTGAGATCGGAGCGACATGCGGGAAGGCGCTTGACGTCACTTTGGCCATCGCACCAAGCACATGAGGTATATCAATTCAGCAGGCCCCCGCAACGGCTGTCAGATCGGTCGTCTCGTAGCCATCGGGGGGTCTTGGCAGTTGTTTATTGCGAGTTGGCAGCATAATTATGTTTGGCCAGTCAACACGTCAGAGTAGTATGAAGTTTGTTTTCTTGTAGCTTGTACGAGTCGAGTTCGGCATGCGATCTACAGTTGATAGCACGAGCCGGCCCATACTTGTCCAATCCTGACCCGGATTGACAATCTTGGTGCAATGCCAGGTGTTTCCTCCAAAGAAAAGGATCCCCCTCTAAAATGGGACACGAGCGTACGACCTGAAATAGGAACATATGCATGCACTCATGCTGGCTCAAGAGTGGTTGACTAGCCCAACATGGTGAAGAAGAGGAAGGCGTCAGCTCAAGACGTTGCGGAGGATGCGGATCTGGACTTTGAGGATGATTGTCAGGAGGAGCCTGAAGAGGAGGAGGAGGTGGTCGATGCTGAAGCCGAAGCGAACGACGAAGAGGCGGAGGAAGGAGCGAAGATGATTTGGAGGCCAGGAGTGGACGCCATCGAGGATGGCGAGCAGCTAGACGTGGAGCCTGGGACCTACGACATGCTTCACCGAGCGCAGGTGGAGTGGCCGTGCCTATCGCTGGATGTTCTGCGGGATGACTTGGGCGCACAGCGCGCCTCATACCCCATGACTGCTTACGTGGTTGCTGGGTCTCAAGCTTCCCGCACAGAGGACAATCGGCTGTATGTCATGAAATGGCATAAGCTCTACAAGACGTCGAAGGATGGCAAGGAGGACGAGGACGAGGACGAGAGTGAGGAGGAGAGCGAGGATGAGCATGAGGCGGCGCTTGAGTCCAAAACTACTCCGCATCCTGGCGGTGTCAACCGGGTCCGCTCCATGCCGCAGGCAGGGCACATTGTGGCGACCTGGGCGGACACCGGAAAGGTGCATATGTGGAATCTGGATGCACACCGCAAGGCTTTGGACAAAGGTGGCGCAGCACCGCCGGTGAAGCCCATCTTCACCAACGAGTCCCACACCGAGGAGGGCTTTGCAATGGACTTCAGCCCCCACGAGACCGGGCGCTTTCTCTCTGGGAGCAATGACTCGCAAATCCTGCTCTGGGACCCAGCGCCAGGAGGCTGGAAGATCCAGGCAGAGCCCTTCAAAGCCCACAAGTCCTCCGTGGAGGATGTGCAGTGGAAGAAGCTTGGCAATAGCGCTCAGTCCACCTTCGCGTCGTGCAGTGCTGATGGCAGCCTGAAAGTTTGGGATGTTCGCGAGAAGGAGCGAAAGAAGCCAGCCATGAAGGTGGCTGATGCGCATGGCGGCTCTGATGTGAATGTCCTGAGCTGGAGCCCCATCGTTGGGGAGCTGATTGTCACAGGTGCCGACGATGGAGGCTTCAAGATCTGGGACACCAGGCATGCCGCCGCAGGGCCCATGGCCAACTTTCTGTGGCACCGGCAACCGGTGACTTCAGTGGACTGGCATCCAACAGACGAGACCGTCCTGGCTGTGGCCTCTGCAGACGATTCTGTCTCGCTGTGGGACATGGCGGTTGAGGACGATGCTCCAGGCAGGGAGGCGCCGCAAGGAGCAGATCACTTCCCTCCGCAGCTTTTGTTCCTGCACCAGGGCCAGAAGGAGCCAAAAGAGCTATGCTGGCATCCTCAACTTCCCAGTGTGTGCATCGCAACTGCTGCAAGTGGCTTCAACATCTTCAAGACATGCAACATTTAGATCGACTCCGAGCGCTGCCGTGGGCTTGCATTTCTGATTCGACAGCGGTGCTTTGCCCGTAATCCGGTGAGCGTTGAGATTGGATCGTCATTTGGAGAAAACTGGATGTGAATAGTTGATTTGCAAGAAACTCTATTAGGAACAACTGAACCCCTTAGCGTGGTTTCTCGGATTTCTCGCTGCGCAGGATCGCCCAAACTTGTTGCCGTTAGTCCCCCGCTTATGACCATTCAACCACGGGGAACCGCTTTGTCGACAAAGTTAGCTCTATGGTTTTGGAATTCAACCCCCACTTCCTCTGAAACCAAATGGGACCCCCCGAACCTCCAAGCCACCCAAAGCGCGGCAATGGCAGGTATGGTGGATACATGTTTGGGACAAGTTGTCAAGACCAGGGCCACATCCAAGTGGTTCCTTTTCTCAGG